AGATACGTTTCTTTGGGGATTCCCCCAACTGAACCCCTGGATTCAGAACTCCAAACATGGGAGAATCACAGGATCTGTGGTCTGATCGTGGAGTGCATGTGTCAGAACTGGGCCTCTTCAGTGGTTCAGATGGAGCAGTGGACAGATGCCCAGGTGCACATGGAGGATATGGCAGTACATTGGGGCCTGCAGAGGACATCTGGTACCATAGCAAAGGCAAGAGGGCAGAACAAATTGGTTAACTGCCCCAGCGAAGGTTGACAGCAAATTTCTGGGCAAATAAAGACTCTGGGATGGACTGTGTCAGCCAATGGACCTTGGAAGGATTTCTTCATCCTTGGATCGGCAAGATCAACAGCATTTCAGAACCACTGAAACCACTTGAACAGAACCTTCAGAGCATACCACCACACTGGGGACCCTGGGATGACATCACGTGGCTGTTCCCCATCCCTGGTGCTGAGGTGGTTGGGAGGCTGGGTGGATGTGGCTTCTTTTTTATCTCCCCCCACCCACTTCTCTGGGATACAGGAAGAAGACAAAGAAAATTTTAAAACAATGGTCTCATCCACTTTCCCATAATCCTCACCCTTTCTACTCTAATCAACTCTGTAAACATTATCAAAAATAAAATAAAATAAAATTGCATGTGACCAGATGGGAAGTGAGCATAAAGCTTGTCAGCTTCAAATCAAGGAATACTGATCGTCTGGAAAAGCAAGCAGCCTTGTGGCTGAGTCATAAGCGCGTCTTTTTGCTCATGAAAGACCACGTTAGATTTGACAGACACATTAAGATGTGAGGCTGATCATTTAAGAAAAACAATTGCAATGCTTACTGCAATAAAATAGTCAATTTTTCAGAAAGAAATTAGGGTTTGGGGAGAACTTATATCAACCCTTACGAGCTTGTTCATTTTCCAATGCTTAAACTTTTCCCAATGTTTTTAAACCACTTAGTGTCCATTTCTGAGGAGTTTGGTGGTGATACTAGTAAGTGTTAAAACTCACATACCACGCAATTCATTCATCCACTCATATTCAAAATTTTCCTTTGTAAAGATTTCTTTGCTTTCTTTACTTAAAAAAAGTGATGGAGAGACACACAGAGAAAAATATCTCCCAAGTGCTGGTTTATTCCCCAAATGGCTGCAAGGACTAGAGAATGGTTGGGCAAACACCAGGAACCCAAAATTCCATCTGGGTTTCGCACATGGCTGTCAGGGGCCCAGGCACACAGGACATCTCTCATTGTCTTAGCAGGTACACTAGCAGAAAGCTGGCTCTTAAGTGGAGAAGCCAGGACTTGAACCAAGCCCTTCACTATGGAATATAAGCATCCCAGTGGGGATTTAATTACTATGCTATAGGATCAACCCATGCAACTTCATCTTAAACATGCACAATACCTATATTTTTAAAAATATCATGGGCCCAGGTTCTAATCTTGGTGGCCACCCCACTTCCCATCCAGCTCCCTGCTTGTGGCCTGGGAAAGCAGTAGAGGACGTCCAAAGCCTTGGGACCCTGCACCCATGTGGAAGACCCAGAAGAAGCTCCTGGCTCCTGGCTTCAGATTGGCTCAGCTCTGGCTGTTGCAGCTGCTTGGGGAGTGTACCAATGGATGGAAGATCATTCTCTGTCTCTTCTTCTCTCCATAAATCTGCTTTTTCAATAAAAACAAATAAATCTTGAAAAAAGAAACAATGTAAAGAGGATGTCTGTTGGGCCTGGTGGTTAAAGTGTTCACTCACACTGGAGCTCTGAGTTTGATCCCTGACTCCTGTCCCTGACTCTGCATCCTGCAGTGCAGACCCTGGAAGGCAACAGGTGATGACGACTCAGGTAAGTGAATCACAATGATGATGGTTCCTTCATTACAAATGTTTGAAAGGCAGAGTTACTGACAGATGGAGAGAGAGGAGTATGTCGTTCCATTTGCTGCTTTGCCTTCCTGAATGGCTACAATAGCAGGGAAGGACCCGTCCAAAGCCAGGAGCCAGGAGTCTCATTTGGGTCTCACTGGGTACAGGGGCCTAAGGACTTAATCCATCCTTTGTTGCCGTCCCAGGCCATTAGTGGGAGCTGGATCAGAAGTGCAACAGCCAGGACCCGAATCAAAGCCCAGGTGCGATACCGGTGTTACAGGGGGTGGCTTAACTCCCTAAGCCACAACACTGGCCCTGAGTATTTCCTTTTAGGGAACACCTCAGGGCACTTAGTGTAGAGTGTTTTTATCTGCTAAGTATTTAAGATTTTTCAATCCATTAATGTAATCTGGGCTTCATGAACGTAACAGGCTATGTAAATAGCCTTAGAGAGTTGCGTGTAAAATTAAGCTGCGACTACAGGGTCCATATGATACAAAGCTATGGGAAATCAGACTTACAGCCTGTTTCAATGAAACCATAACTGAGCACGTAGGTGCACGGAAAGGATCCAGGGACCGTCACTGTTTAGTAAGAAAGACAGAAGGACCGGACACTGGGGAGAAAAGGACACGGAGTCCACGTGCCAGACAGGCAGTTCTGAGGATCGCAGGCCTCAGGCCTTCTTCCCAGTGTGCTGGGCCTCAAACCTGAGTCCTTGAGCGTGCAGCGCGGACATCTCGGTCATCAGGCCAAATGATGTGGACTCAGTTCTTGGGACAATTTCCCTAGGAGATCCTCTGCAGGTGGTTCTGTGACCATAACCAGAACGATACTGTCCCAAGGGAGGAACAAAAGTGAATCCACCATCAGCTGCATTTTGGGGTGCTTTCCTTAAGGTTAAAAAAAAGAGAGTTTGATAATTAAAAAGCCCCAGTCACCTTCAAAGAGGACATTTATTTGGTTACCTGTAAACAAAAGTCACTGGATACATGAGGGGAGACCTATGACACACGATGTGAACACACGGAATCCCTTCTGGCATCTCCAAAGAGCCGTGACTGCGGGTCCCACGGGAGTACTGGCTGTGATTCTCTAGGGCGTTTTCTTTCCGGCAGTTTTCCACATGAATGTTGCAAGCAGGCTTTGCTCCTTTTTGTCACATGGGGACCTCTACTGATCCGGCAGACGTTACCACTCCCACAGAGTCGGTCAACAGCCACTGTACACAGTGCATGTGACAAGCTGTGAGGTGGATTCAGTAAAGCCAGGCTCCTGGATGAAGCGCTTGTAGTTATGCTGTTCAACCAGCAGCAGGTGCATCCAAGTGCACTGGCTCTGTATAGCACCATTCGCAGCGCTTAGCACTGCTTCTACCTACCTTGTTGTGATCAGAAACCAAACGCAATGCAGTCCCATAGTCAGCTGCAAAACACACAATGTGGTTTTCAGTTGGATCATCTCAATTTTCTGACAAGTATATGCAACATGGCCTCAGCTTCTAAGATGACTTTTATTAAAACAAAGAGCTGAATGCTTTAACAGCAGTCAAGCTATCATGGTGCCTAACGGGCCATTGGGTTGACCCCAATGGACTATGACATGCAATTGCTTATCTATAATAATTGACAGGTAATTCTAGATTCACTGGCGGTAATAGCGAGGATGTGCACTAGCCATGGTTTTGTGTCTCCTTTCCATTAGCTGCCTTTGATTGTTGTTATTTTGGTGATGCTTTCATTAAATAACTCCTCCTAGTAGACATTACAATAATGGAAATAATAGAGAGGAAGCCAAGAGGAAACTTGTCCGCTTAATCACTCAATAGCATCTCAAGGGGACTTGGCAAAGCGCAACCTAACTGGAACTGCTGGCTGCACGCAGGCTTGGGGCAGCATTTCCTGATCCCACTCCTCACGGCATTCCTGCCTCTAGTTCTGAAGGATAATTGAGAATGGGCTGTCTTCACTTTAGATAAATTTGACCCAGGACACTAATGAGAGTAAAGAATTCTGCGTGTATGTCTCTGTGTGAGTGCATAATGAACACACTAAGTAGAAATTTAAATAATTCAAAATATGTGTAGACAAGTAAGGCAGCCAGAAATTTCCAAGTGGTTCCAGAAAGAATATTCTGCAGTCTGAAAAATGTTTGGCTTAGAAAAATAGACATCTTTGATGAAGGGAGAGCATTTATCGGAGGTCTTGGATCGCAATCATCTGCAGTGTGAGATCAATCAGAACTATTTTTAAACCTGTGTCGAGCTCAGGCAAAGGAGTGATCTGCAAAATCCTAGGAGGCCGTGGAGAGTGGCTGCTTGGGACCCTCACCAGTGTCAGGTGCACTGACTCCAGACCAAGGCCTTCTGCTCATCACCTCATGACTTGATAGTCTTGGATTTTGAATGAGCAACACGCTGTATAAATAGTGTCATCATTGAATTCTTGTGCCAACCAGCAGCTATCAGCAAGAGAAACTCAGTAAAATGCTGTTAGAGATGCCAGATCGCGCTCAGAATATAAGACACAGGATGTGAGTGAAAGTGCTTGAATCATAGCCCTTGATTCAATTGCTTTGAATACTAATATAGCTTCCGCTAAGGAAATGATTAGTGTGATTCACTGGTTGAGATTTTTTGCCTTAGGATTCAGTTTATCACTGGACAACTACTGGATTAGGACTGATGGCAAATGCCTTTCTCTTAGAAGAACATTTATAAATTGTATGCACTACTTAGAGAAGCCTTACATAAAAATATAAGCTGCATTTCTTTAATTGCACGAAATGATATTATCTTTGAAATTAGAGCCCATCTTTGTTTTGCACTGGCAGATCTATAGCTCCCTGTAATAACTAATTTCCAAAATCCAGTGGCGTTCTTGTGCTGGAAACCCATTTATCCAGAAGCTTTCCAGAAGTATATGGACACTTTGGTTTCACCTTGCAAAGAAGTAGTTGAGTTGAGGTTTTTATTCCCTGTCTGGAATAAAAAAAGCTGTCCCTAAAACCCTCGCCCCATTGGATGACAACTGAGAGTGGACTGTCCAGAGCCATTCGTACCAAGCAGTCCAAAGGCTGTCACCAAGGAGCAGGGGCATCTCTGCAATGCATGTGGTCCTTCTTAGTGCCCAGCACCACCTCTTCCCAGAGAGGCACTGCTGCTTACCAACGAAGCAATGGCCATGGCCTTGACAAAATGCTTTCCCACCTATGTCACGGGCTCCTCACAGCAACCATGTGAGGTAGGCGTGAGTTCAACAACAAAATGCAACACAAAATGCAAACATGAAGGACGCTAAACATGTGCACCGTCCATGTGGCTTCTTCTGGATTGTTCTATAATTTGAATGCATGGTTCAATGAGGAGAAAGAGCATTCCTACCATGTAAAGCAAACCACAAATATAGAAGGAAAAATCGTACTTTTGTGTGATGTCATAGATCCACCCTACAAAGCAAAAAAGAAGATATTCAATGCAAGGCAACGGTAAATGAAAGTCAAGAACACATTAATTGACAATGAATGAATAAATGCAACTTAACCTCCTCCACCAATGAAAAGTCCCTTAAAAATACCACAAGAGAATGCAAATTAGCAAACCATTATAGGAAACAATATGGATACTCTTCATAAAACTAAAAATGGATTTAGCATATGACCCAGCTACCCCACTTCTGAGAACATATACAGAGGATGGGAAGACAGCATGTCTGCGTGCTCATGTTTGCGAAGCAAAGATAAGGAATCAACCTAGACATCCTCTCCTGATGAGCGGATAAAAAAATATTACTCAACCACAAAATGAGTGAAGAACTGACATTTGCGACACAATGGATGGAACTGGAACTCACTGTGCTATGTGAAATAGGTCAGACCCAGAAAGACAAATCCCATGCTACCTAGGGACTGAACAAAGTGGAGCACTTGGGATTCAACTGGCATTCAAGTATAGGATGCTGACATCACAAGTAGGAGCTTAGTTCATTCTGCCACAACACTGGTCCAAAATGCTTCAATTCTTAAAAAATCAGTTTTGTAAATTTGTTTGAGAGGCAGAGTTAGAGAGGAGGAAGGAGAGTGAGGATCTTCCATTGGTTCTCTCCCCAAATGGCCCTGCCAGAACTGGGCCAGGCCAAAGCCAGGAGCCTAGAGCTTCTTCTGGGTGCCCCACATGGGTCCAGGGACCCAAGCACTTGGGTCATTTTCCATTGGTTTCCCAGGTGTGTTAGAGGGGAGTTGGTTCCGAAGTGGAACAGCCGAGTCTTGAACCAACACCCATATGAGATACTAGCACTGCAGGTAGAAGCTTAACTTGATATACCACAATGCCAGTACTAGATTCTTATGATTTCTTTCTTTTTTAAAAACAGGTTTATTATTTCTATTGGAAAGGCAGATATACAGAGAGAAGGAGAGACAAAGATCTTCCATCTGCTGGAGCTGAGCCAAGCCAAAGCCAGGAGCCAGGAGCTTCCTCCAGGTCTCCTATGTAGGTGTGGGTCCTAAGGCTTTGTGCCGTTCTCTACTACTTTCCCAGGCCACAGGCAGGGAGCTGGAAGGAAAGTGAGGCACCCAGGATATGAACTGACTCCCACATGGGATCCAGGCACAGGCAAGGCGAGGACTTTAGCCACTAGGTTTCTGTGCCAGGCCCTAGGTTCTTATAGTTTTAAGTCACTAACTTTATCACAATTTGTTGCAGCAGCAACAGGAAACTAATACAAGAAAAAAAGACTTGGATCCAGCTCACAGAAATGTTCTGTGGAGCCTAAACATGGCATTTTGGAAAATCTGGAAATCCTACCTACAAGGTCAGATGCCTTGCCTTTCTCAGGGCACCAGAAAGTCACGGCAGATCTGGCAACCGCTCCCAGAATTGTTGGGTGATGGAAATCAGTCCGAGCTGGGCACAGGCCATCCTCTTCTGATGGCACAGGGGCCTTCCAGCATTCCACCAGTCCCACCAGCTTTCTCTCCATGTTGTACCAGTCTGGCCATTTGATCAACAGGGATAAAAAGTTTATCTACACTCTAGGGACTGATGTTATGGAGCCTCCAGTATCACACGTCAGGACACTGGTTCTAGTCCTGGCTGCTCCACTTGGGTCCAGCTCCCTGCTAAAGCACAGGGGAAGCCAATGGAGGGTGGACAAGTACTCAGGCTCCTGCTGGCTATGTGGGGGCAGCTGGAGTTCCTGGCTCCTGGCTTTCGCCTGGTCCACCCTGGCTACTGTGGCTATTTGTGAGGAGTCAATCAGTTGGTGGGAGGTTCTCTCTCACTCATTCTGCCTTTGAAATAAGTGAATAAATCTCTTTCTTAAAGATTTACACTCTATGCACAGGAATGGCCTTTTGCTTACTAACACTAATGAATGTGAAATGCAGGGGTTAGGGATGTGAAGAAAAACGTAGCATGCATGTACTTAACTTCCCCACGTGAATGAGACACAAGTGGTACCACGCACCCCAACACGTGGGAGTGTTCACCTGCAAAAGGAGGTCCCAGCAACGCCGAGATGCCATTAGCACAGATGATGATGCCATAGGCGTTGGGCAGGTGTTCGATGCCCACCAGGTCCTCAGTGACCACGGGCATGAGGGAGAAGTAGCCACTGGAGAAGCCTATGAGCGCGCAGACCACCGCCAGGCTGGCGTAGGTGTGCGCCAGCGGCAGCGCGAGGATGCACAGGCCCAGGACGAAGTTGGCCAGGAGGAAGACGTTCCAGGCGCGGACCCAGGGGACGTCGGCCACCAGGCCCAGGAGCACTTTCCCCAGGATGTGCACGATGGCGATGACGGACGTCAGCGGGAAGGCGTCGTTCTGCTCCGACAAGTTGTGCAAGTGCACGATCTCCGGCAGGTGGATGAACGGGATGACGAAGCTGCTGTAGGCGAACAAGGCCCAGAAGACGAAGGCCACAAACATGCGGTTGCGGAAGAGGGAGGCCGACCCAAAGCAGCCCGAGGACCAGTCCCCGAAGCCCTTCCGGACGTGCACGGTGAGCTGGCTCACCGCTTTCAGGAGTCCCAGGGCCCGCACGTCCGTCCTGGGCCCCGCCTGATCTGGGCCCTCCTGGCCTGGAGGGTCGCAGAGGGTCCCCAGCTTTCCAGGTCCGCCCTCTGGCTCTTCTGCCCTGCCTGGGAGCCCCCCTGACTTCACAGATTCCACGGAGCGAGCTGAGGAGAGGGCATGCGGCCGCGTCGCTCCTGGGCCCCGTGTGTCCCTCTCGGGAGCCAGGGGCCGCATGAGTGCCCCGCACACACACAGGTTGAGGGACACAGCGCCCTGGATGAACATGGCATTGCGCCAGCCGTACTCGGAGCACAGGTACTTGAGCAGCGCCGTCATCAGGAATGTCCCGAAGCCTGTGCCTGTGGTGCTGAGCCCCTGGGCCAAGGCTCGCCTCTTCTGAAAGTAGCGGCCCACCATGACCACGGCCGGCAGGTAGGCCATCCCACTGCCGAGGCCTGCAGGAGACAAAGCAAGAGTCCAGGCTGAGTGAGTGGTGACGGACGTGGGGTCAGCAGGTGCAGCAGCCTCACCTCCAGGAACCTAACTGGGCTGTTGGTCTCCAGCAGGGAGAGAACCCGGATGACAGCAAAGCAGCAAGGCCACAGAAGCACCTACGGGAGTCCGTTCCCAACCGCCCCCTCCCTCCATTCCCATCAGATCCAATGCCTCACACAGGCACCACAGCGGCCAACCCCACCCTGAAGGATGTGCCAGGGACAGAATGAACGTCTGCTGATGGCACAGAGCAGTCTGGGATGGACTTGGGTGCAAGGAATAGCAGAAGTGGCTCTAGGCGATCTGTGGGTGCCTCGGGAATCTGTTGGAAGATTCCCTGCAGGAACACAAAAGAATTCTAACACACGCATCCCATCCATGGCTGGGAGCTGCCGAGGGCACAGCACACTCCCGCCAGCTCTGAACTGTGCTGAGCTGCATCTGGAGGAACCAGAGGCAACTCGCTATGTAAGATGCAGTGCTGGTGGGGAAGGACGCGAGCCCGTGTAGGTGCTTTCTGCAGCATTTGGCCATGACCCTGAAACCACTCTTAAAAAAGGAAGTCCCTTTGGGGTCTGGAGCGATGGTTCAATTGACTAATCCTCCTCTTGCAAGTGTTAGGATCCCAGTGGGTGTTGGTTCATGTCCTGGCTGCTCCACTTCCCATCCAGCTTCCTGCCTGTGGCCTGGAAAGGCAGCAGAGGACGGCCCAAAGCCTTGGAACCCTCTACCCATGTGAGAGACCCAGAAGAAAACTCCTGGTTTTGCACTGACTCGGCTCTGGCCGTTGTGGCCACTTGTGGAGTGAACCAGCAGATGAAAGATCTTTGTCTCTCCTCCTCTCTGTAAATCTGATCTGTCTTTCCAACAAAAATAAGCATTTTTTCTTTTTTTTTTAATGAGGGGACTTCATAAAACACAACTATGTAATGCACTAGCTGCCTGGAGGTGGTGTTCCTAACTCCCAGACAAAATTGGTCAGGCCTCCAGGCAGCACCAGGCTGTCACTCCCGTCCCCCAGGCCTAGACCAACATTGTCTTCAGCGTAATGGAGATGGTTCCAGAATGACCTGAGGCTGCACGGAGAGCAGAGCCACCATCCACAGTAACACCACGATACTCCCCCTCTGGGCTCCTGTCAAGGGCCAGACACTTGGCAGGTTTTATTGGATTTAGTTATCACAATAAACCATTCATGTTTACCCCCAGAGCAGCTGGGGGTGTCTGCAAATTTAGAGACTGGCGTGGGAGGACTACTGCCCCCCACGCAGACTCAGGGACGGTCCAAGACCCCACTGCAGGGCGTAGAACTGAGGACTGGGGCGGCAACTCCAAGCCGTGGCTGGGGCCCTTCGCACGCCCCCTGCTGTTCCTCAAGAGGAACTGCTGGTTCCCAGGCTGTCACCCGGTAGCGGCAGCTGAGGGAGTTTCTAGAACCAACCAGAAGCTCTAGCGTCTGCCCGGATGCCCTCATTCCGCCCGTGAGTGGCTGGCAGCGGCGGGGACCGAGTGAGGCCTTAGCCGCAGGGTGCTGCGTTCCCCATGAGGAGTTTGCGGGAGCCAAACGGCTGGAGCTAACTTCAGATCAGACCTCCTGACTAACCCACATAGGGGGCGATGTCTAGAACCCGAAAATTCCTAGAAACCTCATTTCTGGAGGAAATGTCCACCAGGGGCAGCCGGGCTGACCAACTGGCTGATTCGGTAAAGTTGAGACCTTTCCCAGGTTTGATGTTATGGAAACCCGGTGTGATGAGGGAATTCTGTCTGAGAAACGAAGCCCCCCACCGTGAGGGCGGGGGTCCTGCAGGTGGCTTGCAGACAGAAGACTCCCGCCCTTGTCTCCTCCTGACAGGTCACAGTCTAAGGGAAGCCCACCTGGGTGGGGCCCCCGGATGGTGAAAGGAACCTCCACCCCACTTCCCTTACTCTGTTGTCTTCTGCTTGGTTCTTAGCTATGCCGGTGATTGTTTCATTATGTGTCATTTTTAAGAAAATTTCTTATTTGAGAAGTAGAGAGAGAAAGCTCCTACTTGCAGCTCACTCCTGAAATGTTCACAACACCCAAGTTTGACATGACTCCATCCATGTCACCTGTGTGGGAGCTCGTTAGCGGGAAGCTGGACTCGAACTCGAGGTGAGACATGAACATGTGGTATGGGATGAGGTCTCGGGAAGGTGGGAGTGTGATGGAGAGAACTCAGATGGCTTTGGGTTTAAATCCTGCTTGGCACCCTATAAAGAGTCACGCGACCTTGCCGAAGCCTGCTAAACCCTGGAGACTCAGTCTCCCATGGGTAACTGAAAGATAACTGCGCCTGCTGTATTGTGTGGTGTGTGTGTGTGTGTGTGTGAGAGAGAGAGAGAGAGAGAGAGAGAGAGGGAGAGAGGGAGAGGGAGAGAGACCTGGGTAGAGCAATGAGTCCATTGATGCTGGTCTCTTCTCTTTTATAACAGGCTCCTGGCCTAATGAAGTAGTTTCAACCAAATTGTAAGCTTTTAATCAACAAGATGGCTTAATGAATTCTCACACGCTCATTACCCAGCTTCATCAATGATCCGCTCACAGCCAATTTTGTCATCTCTTCTCTAATATTGTTTTGAAGTGACTCCTGAATATGTCATTTCATGCATATATATTTTAGCATAAAGCTCCAGACGTAAATCTTCAAATAGCTTAATCATCATATTATCCCAAGAAACCCAAACAATTCCTTGACATCACTAAAGACAGCTGTTCACTTTCCCCCATCTCTTCACTTATAACGTTTTTCAAACACTTGCTCCCATCAGCTTCCCGTTACGCCTCTGCCATATCTGTATAATAGCTCACATTTACCCAGCATTCTGTACCATGGCAGTGCTAGGTGCTTTACACAAAACATCTCAGAAAGGCATGCCAACAACCTTGTCTATGGATAAGAAATGTGTAGATTAAGGAACTTGCTCCAAGTCACCAAGACAGTAAGTGGTTAAAAAATAAAGGTCACAACACGTGTGTTTGATATCTCGAATCGGAGGCTTAGTCCAGTTCTGGCTGCTTTCCTTCCTGTTAGCTTCCTGTTCACGCACACCCTGGGACACAATCTACCACAGCTCACGTAGCTGAGTGTCTGTCACCCGGGTGGGAGATGGGGCTGGTCTTCCAGGCTCCTGGCTTCTGTCTGCCCTGGCTCTGGTGTTGGCAAGCACTGGGGAAGTGAACAAGTAAATGGAGAACTCGCTTGCCTCTCTGCCTTTCAAATAAATGAATCTTAAAAAGCAAAAACAAAGATGCAGACTGCTGGTCTGTATTCAGGAGGAGGGCCCAGGGTGGCCATTTGGCACCGCCTGGGATGCCTGCTGTCCCCCAGGGCAGAGCCTGCTCCTCTGCTAAGGAGCACCCCGGCAGGCAGCAAGTCACGGCCCCAGTACTTGGGTCCCTGCCCACCCATGAAGGAGGACCCAGGTTGAGTTCTGGGCTTCCAGCTTCAGCCTGACCCAGCCTTGGAGTTCTCCCTGTCTCCCTTTCAAATAAAATGATAACAAATACATTAAAAAAGAAAACAAAATTTGGCCTGGGTCAAACTCATTGAAATACACTTGTACAAGGAAGTCATCTGTGTGAATCCATCCACCTGTCGATAAAGGAAATTACGGCTGGGAACATACAGTGCAGGAAGGATGGGCAAACAGCAGCGCCAGGCAGCCAATTTTCACCTGTGGGTCCCTGGGGAGTGACATCTCCCCCGCCCCCGCAGTAGGCTTCACACTGTTTTATTCATTTGAATTGGGCTGAAGGAGTAAATGATCATTCTGTGATTCAAGCCGATTCTACAGTTATCAAGTGAGAGAATGTTGTCAGTTACTTTAAAGTTAGCCCATTTACCTATGACTGCCTCATTGCTCCTGGGGGCAGCCAGAGCCAGGCAAGGAGAGTGTCTTTTGGTCCCATTAGGAAGGGAAGGACATTCATTAGATTGGTTCTTCAACTGAAGGCATATTTAACATCTCGTATCACAACAAATTTCCTGGAAGGCAGGGTTAGGGTGGCGTGGGATGAAGGAGACAGAACGTCCCTTTCTCTATAGCTAGACTCCTTGCCAACATTCCCAATAGGAAAATTGAAAATCAAGTCAGCCAACAAGTGGATGCGCTTACCCGCTGCCACTCCGAAGGTGACGAAGAGAGAGTACACGTTTGCCGCGTAGGCGCTCAGCACCCAGCCCAGCGAGTTCACCAGCCCTCCGAGGATGGCCGTCCGGCGGCAGCCACAGGCGTTGATGAACAAGCCGATGAAAGGCCCTGCAAGAGCAGCAGAAAAGGAGCTGGGCCCGTGCTTGCTCAGAGCTTCCCCCATGAAGACAAAGAACAGAACCTTCCCCAAGCTGTTACAACCAGCCTGCGGTGCACCTGAACCAAGTTGGAAAACTGTTTGGAGTCTCTGCTGATGCTTAAGGGTAAAGCAAACTCACAGAAAGCCGAGCGGCAGCACAGGCTGCAGTCCCACACAAAGGCAGTTGGCTGCACCTCTGTGCAGTAGCTGAGCCCTGAGCCCCAGGGAGGCTGGGTCATGTTCCCTCCACGTGCCAGGGCCTCTGTCCTTCCCTCCTAGACTCACTCACATGAGCTATCTAGCCTCTTTGCACTTCTGCAGTTTGGGGCTCCAAATCCAACAGGATCACGGGGAAAGGGCTTCTCGGAATTCTGGTGGACACCAAGATGCAAACCAAGCTGGCGTGGACTTGCCATTGTGGCTTGGAGCATGCTCAGTCAGTCGGACTGCACAGGTGGTGCGCGCTTGGCACAACGCGGAGACAAGGAGTCCATGCAGAAGTGACAGCAGCATGCAGCACAGGGACAGGTGACGTACGCTCAACTTGCCTCCTTTAGTCTGACATCTAGTTGTTGTTGTTTTTTTAAATATGCTTGTTTATTTGAAAGAGAGATGGACAGACAGGTTTCCTCTGTACGTTTTCATTCTGCAAACACCCACAATGGGCGGAGCTGAGCCAGGCCTAAGTCAGCATCCTGGAACTCCATCGGGTCTTCATGCGGTTGGCTGGGCCTGGAGGACTCCAACTGCCCCTGCTGCCTCCAGTGGGATTCAGCAACAAGAAGCTGGAAGTGGAGCAGGACGGAGGCCCAGGCACTCAGCTTCCGGCTGTGGGGAGCGCCGGCTGTCACTTGACCATCGTGCTGCATGTCTACCCCGAAACCGGATGCTCTAGTCTTGACTTGTCACTCTTGACTCTTTCCTGATTTTGTGGTGACTCCCGATGCCACCGAAGCTGAACGCTTGCCTAGTGAGGGACGATTTCTTGTTCAAACAGCAATCCAGCTCGTAGTGATGCAGTGTTAGATCGTACTTGATGCTCAGTGAGATGGCTCTTTTGAAACATCATGTTGTGTTTGAGTATTATTACTTACATAATTAGGAAACTCTAGATTCAGGTGGAACTGTTTCAGGATAAAAACTTGTTGACCTCTAAGGTGCTCCCCCTATTAGCCCAAACTGAAATAAAATTTTCCTTTAAGGTTATGACTAAATGCATGTGCATGTTTGGGTACACAGGCTGCTAATGAGTTTACTTTGGTGATAAAGAGTATTTAATGTGACTAATCTTATTGCATTATAGGAAATAAAACCTTTTGGATAGTTTATTAAATATATCTAATATAAATAGTACCCATATTTTAAATTTTCTGCCAATATTTTTCCTTCTATAAAAGTATGTTTTGGGGCCTGACATTGTGGCATTGCTGGTTAAGTGGTTGTCTGCAATACTAGCATCCCATATGCTCCACTTCTGACCTGGTTCCCTGTTAACAGCCTGGGAAAGCAGCGGAGGATGCCCAGTGCTTGAGCCCCTGCCATTCACGTGGGACACGAGGAAGGAGTTCCAGGCTCCCGGCTTAGCCTGGCCCATCCCCGGCTCCCGGCTTAGCCTGGCCCATCCCAGGCTCCCGGCTTAGCCTGGCCCATCCCCGGCTCCCGGCTTAGCCTGGCCCATCCCCGGCTCCCGGCTTAGCCTGGCCCATTCCCGGCTCCCGGCTTAGCCTGGCCCATTCCCGGCTCCCGGCTTAGCCTGGCCCATCCCCGGCTCCTGGCTTAGCCTGGCCCATCCCAGGCTCCCGGCTTAGCCTGGCCCATCCCCGGCTCCCGGCTTAGCCTGGCCCATCCCAGGCTCCCGGCTTAGCCTGGCCCATCCCAGGCTCCCGGCTTAGCCTGGCCCATCCCCGGCTCCCGGCTTAGCCTGGCCCATCCCAGGCTCCCGGCTTAGCCTGGCCCATCCCCGGCTCCCGGCTTAGCCTGGCCCATCCCAGGCTCCCGGCTTAGCCTGGCTCATCCCCGGCTCCCGGCTTAGCCTGGCCCATCCCTGGCCATTGTAGCCATCTGAGGAGTAAACCAGAGGATGGAAAATTTCTGCTGCTCCCTCTCCTCTCTCTGTCAACTTGATTTTCAAATACATAAATAAATAATAAATAAATAAATCTTAACAATTTTTTGAGTGTGAGAGTCAGTTAAGAGAATGCTGCCATCTCTTGGTTTATTCCCTAAATGTCCACAGCGGCCAGAGTCGGGCCAGGCCAAGGCTGGGTGCCAGGAACCCAGTTCAGGTTTCCTATGTGGGTGTAGGGACCCAACAACTTCAGCAGTCACCTGTTCCTTTCCCGGATGCAGGACAGGAGCTGGGACATGAATCCCACTCTGTGAAATGGGAGCAGTGGTCAAACACTCTCCCATTTGTTCTTATTTTTTTTCTAAACCCACAGTGACTTGGCTGTGCCAAACTTGGACGAGCAGGCAGAAAGTGGAACGCACAACTAGTGGTTGTGTGGTTCAGAGTTGCTTTAGGACCTGACTGATCAGCGGATCACAGACCCGCAGCGCAGTCCTGTTTTCTGCATTACAGAAAGGGCCTAGAAGCAGGCTGTCTGAGGTCTTGCATGCATGAAGAAGGTATTTGAGCAGGATCAAAGGAAAACATTCCCAACTCAGGGAAAGAGCCATGCCTGGAGGAGCCCTGCACAGGATCACTGCTTCTCAGGGGGATTGCAGTCTGTGTGCTGGGGCTTCTGCCCGGCGGGCAAAGGCAGGCCTCGAAATACTGTGACTCTTCCAGGGCAAATCATATACATTAATCAAAGGAATTCCAACCCCAGCGTTCTGACTGTGCTGCTTTTCCAAACTCCTGCTGAGTTCCACGAGAACAGGAACCCCGGAGCATCCTGCAGCTGAGCTGGGGACAAGCCTTGGCTGCTGTGACTCATACTCTGCTATAGCAGCTTCCGAGGGAGAGCAGCCTCCTCGCAGGCAGGACTCCCAGCCTTGTACCACCTCCACATCATGGCATCACACCGCTGCCTAGGAACACCCCTGCAAAGTCCATCTGCTCGGCCTACACCAGCATCTCATGGGCTGAGCCACGTGAGCTGAGCCTCAGCACTGCTTAGGAATATAGTTTTTTTGAGCTCCGGGTGCCCTGCGGTGATTTGAATTAAAGACTAGAAAGCTTCTAAATCAATGGCTCTCTGCCTTGGCTGGACAGTGGAGTCACTTAAGGGCGTGGTGCTCCTCCCAGCAGAGTCCAGGGGCAGCCTGAGCAGCATCTATAGTCCTGCTGTGTGGCCTGAACTGACCACCGCTGCTCTAAACTTACAGAGCAAGTGGGTCAACTGCTGTGCCTGTGGGTCTTCAAAATGCTCGCAGGAAATGTGTACCATGACAAATGGGGTAAAGGCCTCTGCCTGCATTCCCATAGGAGCACTGCTTTGGGTCCCAGCTGCTCTGCTTCTAATCCAGCTCCCTACTAATACCCTGGTGAAGCAGCAAAAGATGGTCCAAGTTCTTTGGCCCCTGAATCTACATGGGAGATCTGGAAGAAGCTCCAGGCTCCCAGCTTTGGACCACTCTAACTAAAGCCTGGTGAAGCTTACCCGGGGTCACTCTGACGAGGCTATGACACTCACTGGTGTGTGTGACGGCCAGGCCTGTGGTGGGCTGTGTTGGGCTGCAGCACCCACCAGTTCACATGCGGTTTGGGTCAGGAGGCAGACTGACCAGGTAGCTGTAATTACCAGCATGTGCATTGGCAGATGCAGATAATGGAGTGAACCATACCCTCACTAGATGCCACACATGCGTCAAATCAGGTCACCGCAGGTGAGGTTTCTTGGGGGAACTCCCCATCTAGATCACTGGATTCAAATCCTGGGCACAGGGAAAAGTCACAGGATATGTGGTCTGATCTTGGCATGCATGTTTGGGATTGGGCCTGCTCAGTCGCTGATGCTTGTAGAGTGGACAACATGCCCAGATGCACACGGAGGACAGGACATCCAGCTCATCTAGGCCAGCAGAGGATGTTCACTGCCTCATCCCAGAGAATGGAAAGCAGAGCAGGTTAGACCACTCTCCTGGCCAAGCTTTGCAGCAAGTGTCTGGCTCTGTGGGTGTACAGTGAGGTGGACTTGGAGAGCCAATAGACTTTGTAAAGATTTTCTTAACCCTGGTGCAACAAAGTCAACAATGTCTCAGAACTACCAAAATGACTTGAGTCACACCCATGTGGCCTTCCTTTATCTTTGAAGTGTCACCAAATGGCTCTCAACTATTGTAACATAATCTATGAATCTGTTTTTTAAAAAGAGATTATGTGAATTAGGTTAGGATGATAAGGAAATAAAATGTGGAAAAAGGCAATATATGTTTATTCATTGAAACTGCATTTTACGTTCTAATTTGATCATAGTAGGAAGTGTGAAGTGGTCCTAGCACTGGCTGTCACCCTTCAGCACGTCACTTCCTGTCTCTGCGTGCTGCACGCCCTGTCACAGGAAGGAGCCATGTTTACAACATGTGCGTGGTGTGTGCTAAGAGCCAAACAGAGCAGAGCTGTCCCTGCTGGCTTCAGGCCTGGAAATTCCTATCGTGCTGCTTGAAGTATCTACGGTGCCCCCATCCCTGGACCTGGAAAACGCGGGCTAACGAACAGAAAAGAGAGCAGAAAGTCCTCTCCATCAGGTGGCTGCAATTTCTGAGCCACAGGGCAAAAGACATTTTCATCTTCCCTTGCGAAGAGTTAGGTGCACACTGAATTCTGGCCACAGTCCCTGCCCGGCTAAAGATGGCCTCCCAGGTCACCGTGACCGGGACTCAGATGTCCTTATCCTGAGCCTCATTTTCAGAAGCATATCCAGAAATGTCAGGACTGGTCTCCACTGCTTGTTTCTGTAGAATTTGTAAACCACAAAACAGTACATGAGGCAACCTTGTTGGATGGCTTAGAAAATATTGGGATATTTCACATCCTGGCCCTCTGCTGAGCTGCTTTTTTTTTTTTTTTTAAATCTTTGTAGGGACTTCCTAAGTCAAATCATAATTTTACTCCTTAACAATATTTTTTAAATGTAAAAAAGCGGGCCCGGTGCAGTGGCCTAGTGGCTAAAGTCCTTGCCTTGAACGCACCAGGATCCCATATGGGCACCAGTTCTAATCCTGGCAGCCCCATTTCCCATCCAGCTCCCTGCTTGTGGCTTGGAAAAACAGTCGAGGACGGCCCAAAGCCTTGGGACCCTGCACTGGTGCGGAAGATCTGGAGGAAGTTCCTGGCTCCTGGCTTTGTATCGGCACAGCTCCGGCCATTGCACTCAGTTGGGGAGTGAATCATCGGGCAGATCTTCCTCTCTGTCTCTCCTTCTCTTTGTATATCTGACTTTTGAATAAAATAAGTCAATCTTTAAAAAAAATGTGAGGAAGCCTGGTTCTAAGTGAGCAGTTTTCTTCTTATAGCTTATTGAGAAGGTGCAATGACATCCGCGATAAACCCACAACGACTCCCCGTACCTGAAAGCATCTCTGTGCACTTCCAGGTGACTCACAGTTCTAAGAGCCCGATGCAGGTGGAAGGGATCCTTTCAGTAACGTTACACGTGAAAAGGATTTATCAGCAAATCTCTGACACATCGTACGGTGTCCTTGTTTCCTTTTAAGATTAGATCCTACTAATTCCCTTTGAGATGCACACACACACACACATCTTGAGAAACAGCATTCATCCTTGTTTTCTGTCATTAGCACCATCAGTGTTACTAACATTGTTAGAATCAACAAAAATAACAGCGATTAAATGCCAGACAAGATCAACAACTCTCTGAATTGCACTCAAGCAATTAATCGTGAAAATGACGGGAAAAGCAGATCCGCAGCCAAGCGTGCACGTGCCTGTCTTCTGCCTATTCTCACAGGATCAGAGACAGGAGGCCAGAGGTGTCTCCACTATAAAACACAGGGAGGGCATTTCAGATTTAAAGTCACCTGTGGAAGTATGGCATTTAATTTCAAGTGAAACAACCCCAAAAGCAGGAGGGTGTGGTGGGATCAGAGGACGGTGAAGCGAATGAGTTAAAATTCAGTACAATGTAAAGGCAGGCACCAGGTATACAAGAGGTGCTTATTAAATATAGAGAAGTTATTTGGCTCCTAAAGAGAAATACATGGTAACAACTGCATTATTTTCAACACTTCCTGATTTAGTACCGCCAAATAAATATTGGTCACATAGATTGCCACGCTATGTGTTTAAACAGCAAATACAAAAATATGTATTGTTATTATTCCTTCCTGTTAGCTATATCAGGAAAGAATTCCAGGCTGCTGGCTTTGGCTTGGCCCAGCCCAGCTGTTACAGGCACTTGGAGGAGTGAACCAGAGAACGGAAGACCTTTTTGTCTCTCTACCACTGCGCCTTTCAAATAAATAAATAAAATAAAATTTAAAATATGACAATTGTTTCATGTCTGGGAATATTACTGAGAGCAATACTCTGAAATGCAAGAAATCAAACACTTAAAAAAGCAGGGTTTGGGGCAACAGAGAAATTTTTAAATGATCTTTATTTTTAAAAAATATATTCCCAGTGTTGAAAACATTTCAAATAGTCATACAAAGAAACACAATTCTGTGTGATTCTACTTACGTGGGAGACCCAAAGAGTCAGATTTAGAGACAGAAAGTGGAGTGGTGGTGGGCTAGGGGCTCAGGGACAAGATCAGCAGATGGGTCCCGGTGACAGCACACCAGCATGAATGCACTTAGCGACTCTCAACCATGCACCTTATTTTCCTATGATAAAGACAGTCATAGCGCCAACATGTGGCAGCCAATGTGTCCACAACGTGCATCATGACGCAGTGCGAGCAGCCGTTTCCCCGTGACTCACCCCCGCGGGGCCCCACGCAGACATACCCACAATCAAGGTGATGCCCATGCTGAGAGAGCTGACCCAGGCCGTGAGGCTGCGACTCTGCCGAAACTCCTCCAGCCACTCCACGTTGAGGACTCCCAGGGCCATCTGCGAGCCCATGACCAGAATGTGCACGAAGAAAGAGGACAGGACCATCACCCAGGCCCACCCGCCATCCATGTCCGGATGGGCCTTGAGCGTCTTCTTGTCCTTGGGGTCATCTTCAAAGTCATACCCAACATCTTCATGGCTTGTATACATTTTCCAAGATTTTCTGAAATACAGACAAGAAATCATCATTTCCAAAAGGCCTTGGTTTTCCTGCTGACATCAGAGCAGTCTCTCAGCTCCATCACTGTCACCAGGCAGGAATGCTCCTAACACTTCCACCAGACCAAGTGACTTAGGCAGCCTGTGTCTTCTTTGCAGCCGCTCCACAGGTGAGGGTTAGAACTGTGGAAATAGACTCAGTGAAGCAAAGCGACTGCCAAGATTTCATGGCCAGCATGTAGTGTGGCCAGCTGGGAACCAGGATTTGAACCCAGTTGTTCTGTCTCCCTTACAGAGATGGACGCAGACAGGTGACAACAGATGTCAGAGAAGGAAGACTTGGCCTCGGCTTCACCTTGTCAGAGGATCTGGATTAGTTGTTGTTGTAGTTGTTTTTAAGGGTTATTTATTTTATTGGAAAGGCAGATCTACAGAGAGAGACAGAGGGAAAGATCTTTCACCTGCTGGTTCACTCCCCAAGTGGCTGCAATGACCGGATCTGAGCTGATCCAAAGCCAGGAGCCAGGAGCTCCTTCTAGGTTGCCCACATGAATGCAGGGTCCCAAACTTTTGTGCCATCCTCTACCGTTTTCCCAGGCCATAAGCCAGGAGGTGGATGGGGAGTGGAGCAAGCGGGACATGACCTAGTGGCCATTTGGGATCTTAGCACTTGAAGATGGAAGATTAGCCAATTGAGCCCTTGTGCTAGGCCCTCGGTCTTAGTTTTGATGGGTCCAAGTGTTCGCTTCGTTCAGTACAGCCAGGATGGGTTGATATCGGAGGGACTGACTCAGACGAACCAGGCTCAGCAGAGACTGATAAAGTACAAGAGCATGGGAGCTACGGCTTTCTAATAAGGACAATACCTACCTGCCTCTGATGGTACAATGTGTCACACACACCCTACTTCCCAGCGTTTACCTAGGAAACAGATCGCATTGCTATAAAATGACAAAGTAGGAAAATGGGCTTGAGAACTTCAGTTACTAATGATACACAGGAGATCAGGAGAGAGGGTGCCAGATAAGGAGTTGGGGTTTCTCTTGTATGGGACAAGTGCCCCGCTTGTCATAAGGAGATGCGTGCTTTGCACAGAGCTGTCTCTCAAGATGTTTGGACAGGAGGAAGGAGCCAGAAGAAGCTAAAGGGCAGGGGGTAACGTAGGGTCAAGGGAGGGGAGGCTTATGTCTTTCTGTCTTTTTTTATGGAGGGGATGAGAATTAAGTGTGGTGAGGATGGAGACTAGAAGCAAGATGAGAGAGAAACAGAGGAAAGAGTGAGAGAGAGATAAGCAATGCTTAATTCTGGAGCTAGATGGCTGGATTCACCCTCCGAGACTGCAGAAGGAAAGAGGTGGCAGGGGGCAGCTCCCCTGCTGAATGCTGGCAAGGATTTGAAATCTGCTAGCTCAATTTCTCTGGCCAAGTTAAAAATGAGATCCCTGGCGGCGATCGAGGAGGGTGGGGGCTCCCTGAGGGCGCTGGTGCTCAGTATGTGGAGGAGACTCTTACAAGTAGAATTGACACTGGGGCAGGTCCCAGGTGTGTAGCGCTGCGGGGCTGTGTACAGCCCAGCACCAAGGACAGAGCAGAGAGTCCTCAGTCCAGAGTTGGCAGCAAGGGGAGCACGGCTCGGGGAGCTCCACCGGAGCCAAGGACAAGCGATCAGCGGCTTTCCTCACTGTCAGCAGGCACCGGCAAGATGCTCCCCCCGGAAATATCTCAGAAATGGCTGCTTCCCTCTCCCATCCCCACTGCCCCTCTGTCCCAGGAGAGGTAAGAAGCCAGTCCTCCTTGGGGACTTCCACACCCCTCCTAGCTCTCATCAGAGTCCAGCCCAGGCTGCCTTCCTTGGGTCCCTGGGCTGTTCGGCTGCTGACGGCCTCTCAGGCCCCTGCCACCCCGCCTGTCCCTCCTGCCCTTCCTACATGGCTTCAGTCCCACTAAAGCACTTGCAACCCCTGCAAACACTAATTTCCACTCAGCTCGCAGTTCCTGGCTCTTGGCTTCAGTCTGGCCAGCTCAGGTTGATGTGGTCTCTTGGGGAGAGAACCAGTGGGTAGAAAATGCTCTCTTTCTAACTCTGCCTTTCAAACAAATTAAATCTTTAAATACTCAATTTAATAATGAATCTTAAAATAGTGATTAAAAAATCCTGAAAGTACTTCTAATAGTCAATATCAGAGTAGTGGTTCTATCAGTCAGTCATAGGCTCACTAGATCACACAAACCTGCTTTCAAAATTGAAATCTTCCAAGGCACAGAAGGAAGCAGGCGTGCGGGTAGGAACCACACCTGGGGGCCACGTGGGGACTTGTGCAATAACCCCTTTGTTGGTGGTACCCACATCATGGGTCCATGGGTGAAACGGCAAAGTTTTGGAGGAGGGATTTCTTATAAGAAATTCTCCCCTTTTTAGTTGAACGGTAAAAAAAAAAAAAAAAAAAAAAGATAAATAATTATAAATCAACTTAATTATAAGGAAACAAAATTATGTCTTTTTAAATATATCGATTTATCTATTTTGAAAGGCTGAGTTACACAGAGAGAGAGACAGACAGACAGACAGAATCTTCCATCAGCTGACTTGTTCCCCAAATAGTCCTAAAGGTCAGCTGGGCTGGGAGGAAGCCAGGATCCAGGAGCTTCATCCGGACCTCCCATGGGTGCCAGGGGCCCAGGCACTTGGGCCATCTTCCTGCTGCTTTTCCCAGGCCACTAGCAGGGATCTGGATTGGAAGTGGAGCAGCCAGACAAAACAAAAACAAAAAAACAGAAGAACCAGTGCCTTCATGGGATGCTGGTGTCACAGCCATCGGGCGCACTATTCACCACAGTTTCTATCAGTGCCTCATGCCACAGGTCACTTAGTGGTTAAATTGTGTGTGAGAGAGAGAGAGATAAAAGAGAAATGATCCAAGGGCCACCTCTCTTGGGAAAGCTGTGTGTGTGTGTGTGTGTGTGTGTGTGTGTGTGTGGTGTCTCTGTCACTACTCCCATCCCCCATTCTGAGCCTGTGTGAAGCTGTGCAGGGTGAGGCAGCCCTTGCTGTCCTAACGGCACTGTAGAAGGGCCCAGCGCACGAGCCCAGCAAGATTCAGAGTGGGGAGCTGACAGTCTTCCTGTGACCCCACGGTTTACATGCAGAATTCCACAGTGCCTGCAAGGGGAGCTGTGGGAATAGAGAGGAAGGTAAACTCTGCTGTGGTTTCCCCTCCCAGCCATGTTCCCAGCAGAGACAGCTCCTGGGAGCAGCTGTCTGGGGTCTACCCCACTTGTCAGGCAAGCATGTAACTCCGCAGTGGACAGCAGCTGGGCGTCCTCACACTTTCTGCCTGGTGTCTGAGCCAGGCTCCAGGTGGAGGGCTCACCCCCAGACACAGCCCCTCCTTTATAGGTGCCCATGGCAGGCCCTAGGTGCTCGTGTCCTTGCATCTCACCAACTGACCATAAACTGGGTTCCTGCCACCCTTTTAGCTTTGCTTCATTTGCTAGAGCAGCTCCCAGAACACAGGGAACATGGGCATGACACCCAAGTCATGGGGAGACACATGCCCAGGGCCAGGCGCTGCTAGGTAGGGGGATGCAAAACCAGGCCACGGTGAGGCAGGGGCCAAAGGAAAGCAAAGCAGCCTTGAAACAGCCTGATGCCTTACACAATGCAGTCCTGTCCGTGCCCCTGAGGCCCTGAGAGGTGACCGCAGCCTTCCCCCCAGGCAGAGTTCCTCAGGAGAATCCTGTCAGGCACCAAGCTGGCTGCCCAGTCTGATAACGTGGAACAACATAACCTCGGGATGGGAGAATTGTCCCCCCATTTCACACCCAGGAAGCTCTTTGGCTAGAAGCAGAGAGAGTGGAGGGAGGAGAGAAATGAGAAGCAGAGCCCACCTTCTAATAAACCCCACTCTGGAAATAGGCTGGGCACACCCTTTCAGGCTGGCCTGAAGAGGTGTGTCTCACTTCTGCCAGATGCATGACCTCGTGGCGCCTTATTCAGTGCTATGTACCCACGGACTGTCTCACCTATGAAACTGCTTTTCCCTTCAGGGAGACAAGGGCTTCCGCTCCAGACATGAGTGTCTCCAGCAGGGGTAAGGGGCTGGCAGCGCCCCGCCCTCTCCATCATGTCCTGCCCCGTGCCTCGAACCCTGCAACATCCCACTGTCCAGAAGCCTCGCCCCTGTCTTTGTGGGTTCTTCTGCAGGCTTTCATACACCTTGTCTTGGATGCAGATAACTGAACCAATGTGACTGCACCCAGAGGGGCTGGCCCAAGGCTGCTGGACCCCAGCCAGGCCCGCACAGCCGGGATCCTCATGGCCTCTCCGTACAGTGTTCCTTCCTCCTGTGTAGCATGTGGGAGTCCTCCTGCCATGGACACCTACTGGTCCACCAGCAGGCAAGGTGCATCAGCACATGTCCATGTCTTCCTAGTTTCTATCTCTGCCTGGGGAGAAAATGGAACAGGCCAGAGAAGGCCGAGAACTGGGCAGAGATTGCTTTCCAAATCTTCATACACTTTGATTTTAACTAGCGGCCTGTGTACTGTTCTAGGGACCTGTGGATAGAACCAAAACATTTAGTATAGTATTGTCACAGGAGAGAACCAAGCAAGTTGGCCTGCAGGCATGGTGGCCTGTGTAACAATGTAACCATGTTCAGCTGTTTAATAAGACCCAACAAGAGAACTTGGCATCTTCCAATCGGCCATCTATCACAAAGGAGCCTTTGAGATAACCATAAAAATGTTACTGTTTCTCAACTCAGGGGATGAAATATTAAGTGCTTTTCTAAAATGATGTTGCGAACTTCGTGTTCTTCTGAATTATTTATTGGTAGGGTTGAGAGCTGCAATCACCATCGAACTGCGTTTGACATTCCTAGTTTACTTATCCATAAATAATATAAATAGCACCAAGTAGTGTTAGATGAGCGTGTTTTACTCAAGAGACACAAGGGTGTATGTCAGATATGGGGTCAAGTGCAGCGTGTGGGTGGGGAGTGCAGAACAAGAAGTTCTCTGAGACCCTCAGGAGGTTCCTACAGAGCTGTGGACAAGAGTCCCTGACATTTCACACTTGCACCTCCCTAAAAGTAATCTGAGGCCCAGAGAGACCAAGAGACAGGATGGTGAGAGCTCTCAGCCTTTAGCTCATCCCCCAACTGTCTACAACAGCTGGGGCAGTGAGGTTGAGCTGGGAGCCAGGAGCTCAACCCAGGTGTCTCGCATGGCGGGCAGGGACCCCTTCCTGCTCCCAGAGTCCGCAGTAGCAGGAAGCTGGAGCCAGGAGACAGAGGTGGGTAGGGGATGCTGACACCTTAACTGGTGTCAACCCCCCCAGGTCAAATGGCTGTACCAAGAGGGGAACCTTAGGAGGGGACAGATCCTGAGGGCTTCACCCTTAGGAGGGGGCTCAGCAGAACTTGGAGGATTCTTTAGGGAGGGGGCCGGTGCCTGAGCAAAGGATGCAAAGGGATAGGTGTCTGTCCTGTTACATCCAGCACGAGGCTCCTGCAGGTGACTTAGTGAGGGAAGCCTCTCTCCTGCCAGCTCACCTGAGCACACAGCCTTCTTCTGCACAGTCCGGGGGCGGGGAGGACTAGGATGCCCCCTTGCCCCGCCAAGTTTGCTTTTAGTACTGATTTAAGGATAAGATATCAAGTCCCCAAGGGGGAGACGAGAGGACATCTGGGCCTCCAGAGCACCACATCTTTCTCCACCCGGTGGCCTTCAGTCTCTCCACTTTCTCCATTCCCCTGACACTGCAATAATATTAGCCTTGAGTTAAGGCACATAGTGAATGCTGGGCATCTTCTAAGAACCATTTGACATGTAAAATCTGAGCATTCTAGGCCCAACTGCGCTTGGAGGCTCCGCACACACCGTCAGGGCCTCTCCCTGCAGAAGGCGGTAGACGGCAAGGGGCAGATGATGGCACCATAGCCTGCCTTCAGTGCTCCCAAAATGAGAGGTCTCAAGCTCGGGCTTAAGACATCCCCTGCGTGGGAGAGGGCTGGATAAACCAGTACAGGTTGAGTTGGGAAATAAGGTTAGCTACACCTTTATGCAAATAGGCAGATGCAAAAAATTAAAGGATCTTTGGGCCAGGCGGCCGGCTGAGGTCATCGCCTTGAACGCTCCGGGGTCCCATGTGGGAGCCGGTTCTAGTCCCGGCGGCTCTACTTCCCATCTAGCTCCCTGCTTGTGGCCTGGGTGGGGGAGGGGTGCGGGGGGGGCAGCTGAGGATGATCCAAAGCTTTGGGACCCTGCACCCACGTGGGAGACCCGGAGGAGGTTCCTGGTTCCCGGCCGTTGCGGTCACTTGGGCAGTGAATCATCAGATGGAAGATCTTCCTCTCTGTCTCCTCCTCTCTGTATATCTGACTTTGTAATAAAAATAAATAAATCTTTTTTAAAAAATTAAAGGATCTTTGTTGCGAATACTGGCTCAGTTTTCTGCTGGCATTCTGCGGAAGGTCTTACAGCTACGTTTCGTTCATTTTTAATCTGGCCCTTGCCCTTGTACGTGGCCCACTATGAACTGATTATCAACCAGCCTCACGAGGGGGCATACCGCCCCAAGCTGGACCGGGCGCCCGGCAGCGGGTTCTCCATCAGACGCAGGTGTGTGATTTCCTGACAGGTACTGGGGCGCTCCACTCTGGCAGTGGACGGGAAATGTGTGGCGCAGTGGAAGCTGAAGAGGCAGCAGCCTACTTAGGCTGGAGAGCCGGGCTTACCAAAAGCAGCCGGGCTCAAGCCCAGTGATGAGCAGGCGGGTGAACGCCCGCAGTGGCTGATCCCAACGTGGCCATTCTACAGGCGTGGACATTGAGCTCTGTGCCTAGCGTGAGCCCTCGCGGCTCAGAGATCAGCGCGGCCAGCGGTGACCCCAGGCTTGCAGGAGCCTTACCAGTCTCTCCCAGCCCGCACACCGCTCCTCCTCCCGGTTCTTCTCTCTGACGCGCTCACCGCACAGCCCACAGAGAAAAGGGATTCTTCCAATCCCCAGTCACGACCGGGGCCCGCTGTCCTTGCTAACCCACTCCATCCAGCTTCTCCGCAGAAAGCAAACGGCTTCACCAGCAAGCACAGCTGAGCTCCGGAAACGTCGCCAAGGCCTTGGTAGCTGCAGCCCCTAGAGGGCGGACCCGAGGCCTCTCGCCCCAACGCCCCGCGGGGACGCAGCGATCAGAGTCGCCAAGCTGGGGGACCAGTGTCTAGGGCCCTGGCCTCGGCGCCCGCCCCTGGCCTCCCCACACCCGGCCCCCTCAGGGAAGCCGGCGGGTGGACTGGCCGTAGCCTGAGTGGAAACGCCCAGCGACACCCTCTCGGCTCGGCGGCTCTGCGTCCCCATCCCTGCACAGTCGGAGCGTCGCGCGCGGAGCCTCGCGGGGCGGCATCGCGGCTGGACGCAGGTGCCCGGGTGTCGGCGCCGGGTCGGGCCGCCTGGGGCAGCTAGAGGCGCGGGTCCCCAAGCTCCTCCCGGCGCGAGCCCCGGACTGCAGCAGCTCCCGCCGCCTGGCAGCGGGTCCGGAGCCGCGGGAGGGCCCGCCTGGCTCCGCGCCCCGCTTCCCCGGCCAGCCGCCCCGTGGCGCGGCGGTTCCCTGGGGGATGCAGCGGCGCCGGTACTCGCCGACTCCGACCTGCCCGGGCTCGGCTGCAGCCCCGGGCCCGCGGCCTCGGGATACTCACCGTCCGCAGCGCGCCGGGCCGCGGCCTCACTCGGTTCCGGGCCCCGACCCCCGCGCTCGCGGCCGGGCTCCGAGCCCCCTGAGCGGCCGGGCGCAGAGGCGGGCGGCAGGGTCGCCCCGCATCCTGGAGACCCGCCGGCGGCGGCAGCGCGGCCCTCGGGCGGGCTCCGTGCGCTCCGGCAGCGGCTAGGGGCCCGGTACGCGCCGCCTCCGGGGAACTGCTAGCCCGACGCCTTGGTCCACAGGGCTCCGAAGAGGGTGCGTTTGGAAGCGCCCGCGCCTAACCCGAGCTCCGATCCAAAGACTGCAATTGCGAATGTCCACGCTCTTTCATTCCGGTACCGGCTAATTCTGGTTTGGCAGGAGAAGATAAAAGCCCAGCCCTGCAGTCACCTCACAGGCACACTCTGGTGGCCGAGTGAAGTTTGTCGCCGTGGCCGAGGCTCCCTCCGGCTCGGCTACGGGAGGAAGCAGCAGGAAGCTCCCGGGGCGGGGAGCCGGGGGCAGGGAGCCGGGGGCAGGTGGGAGGGGAGGGGCTCCTGAGACCCTCCCCGGGGACTCGGGGCGGCGCAGCCAGCCGGCCACGGGCAGCCGTTGGCTCGTTCTCGGCCCAAGGCACGGAGCATCCACGGTCCATTGCCGCCTGGCCCGGCGCCGCCTAGCCCGGCGGCCTCCCAGCATCTGAGCGTGGGCGCCGCGGTTCCCGCACCCCAGGCGCACTTTGGCGCGGCTCCGGCGGCGCGCCCAGCGCGAGGCTGTGCGGGCAGGAGTTGTCGGTGTGCGCGCGGTGAGGACTGTGGAGACAGGAAGCCAGTGCTGCGCTGGCTCGCCTCACCTGGAAGCTTTTGTCTGGGTTTTCTCTCTGTAGTGGCTGAAAACGACAGCAAGTGCTTATTTCATGGCTCTGAAAGTCGGGAATTTGGAAGGGGGTTTAACGGGGCTGCCGTCGGGGTGTCTGTCCCTGGAGGAGTCTGTTCTTCCCAGGTGGTCCTACTTCCTGGGCTCCTGGCCGCTTCCTCCTCTCCAGAGCCGCTGTCGGCTTCGCCCCTGCCTCACACCCACATCCCTTTGTCTCCTGCGTTCTGCCCTGTTCTTCCACCTTTGAGGGCCCTTGGGGTTACCTCTACCGAGATGGTCGCCCTATTTTTACAGTTCAGCCAACTAGCTACCTTAATTACACCTGCTACCAAATTTTCGCCTTATGAGCAACATAGTTACAGGATCGAGACATTAAGAAGAAACCAGAGTTTTATGATGAGAGATTTTATTTATTTTTGAAAGACGGGAGAGAGAGAGAGGGAGAGAGAAAGAGAGAATTTTGCATCTTGCTGGTTAACTCCTCAGAGCTGGGCTAATTCGAAGCTAAGAGTCTGTAGGTCCTTCCAGGTATCCCATGTGTGGGGGCCCAAGGCCTTGCACCATTATCCATTGCCTTCCCAGACACACTAACAGGGAGCTGAAAGTGGAATCAAACTGGCGCTCCTATGGGATGCTGGCACTAGAGGTGCCAGGCTCTTAGAAGTTCTAGATCAGAAGGGAAACTTCAATAAGAATCTGGTGCTGTCAGGATGTGAGCAGGAAGTTCATTACAGGCGTGGGAACAGCAGGTGCTAAGGCCCCAAGGGAGGAGGTCGTCCCAAGGCCTGCAAGACCCTAGAAAGAACTGACTTCTGTTAAGAGGTGGGAAACCACGCGAGGGTGTGAAGCAAAGGGGTGACACCAACAGACTGACGTCTGCCAAGGCCCGGTTGGCAAAGGGGCAGACTCTACAGGGGCACAGGAGCTGAGCCAGAGGCCGGGGGTGATCACAGCTCAGCTGGAGCCATGGCAACAGAAGGGCTGAAAAGGGACCAGACTCCAAAGAGAGAGCTTCTTTCAGAACACAGGTGGAGGGCAAATGAGAAGACAGGTGACCTCTGGGCTTTGAGCCAAGTGACTGCATGGACAGAGCTGCCCCTAGCTAAGCTGGGAAGGCTGCGGGAGAGCTGGTGAGCCGCCCTGTTAGGAATTCAGGTAGGGACCAGTCGATACATTGTTTTGCTTTATTATGGCTCACATAGTCACACAATGGAATATTATGTAGCACTCAAAAGAATTAACCACTTCAACACACTACAATTTTTGAATCTTAGCAATGAAATACTAAATGGAAAAAATTAACAGTACTTATTTTCATAAAGTTGAAAATGGTTTTAAAAAAGCAACAATTTTGAGGAAACTGTATAAATGCTATACAACTATATAGAAAGGAAATCAAGGAAACAGCAAATGAGGGATTTAGAATCAGGTTTTACCAGGTTGCGGAGGGGCGGGCAGGGAGTTGCAGTGGGGGGTGTGCCTCAGTGCCCCTCTCCTAGTTTCTGATTGGGTGTTGGCTTCACAGGAAGTTACCTTGCTAGTTAAACTAACAAGTGGCACCAGTCCTACTAATGCAAAGCTGATTGACATTGGAAAATCAATGAAGGGAAACTCGCTGTTGCTACAACAAAGGACAAGAACTGGATGATTGTGTGGGAGACACAGAAGAAATATTTGGCCAGATCCAACAGCCTTTCCTGATAAAAACGGCTCAACAGAGTAGCAATAGGCCCCAGCAAACATTGCACTGCGGAAAGGCCAAATGCTGCCCCCTGCCCAAGGTCAGCCCCATGGCAAGGATGCCATTCTTAACCCCTTCTTGTCAGTGCCGCATCAGATGTTCTAACCAGGGCTCCTAGGCATAAGTAAATGAAAAACATTAAAAAGGAAATCCAAAAAGGAAAAAAAAATGATAATAAAAAAAGAGATTTCTATGTTCAAATGTTATAAATTATACACAAAAAAGGATAAAGAATCCACCACTAAAATATTAAAAGAAATGCATGGGCCCACCTGTATTTGCACATGAATCTGATGTACAAAAAAAATCCGTGTTATGTACATTCACTGACAATTCCATGCATGAGAGCATCAAAAGGAATTTGAAAGATGAGGAGAAAAGAAGACCTAAGAAAGTGCAGGCCTTCCCCCAGGCTGCCCTGGAACCCTCCTTCCTCCCTGCCCCCGCCTGCCCTGCTGTCCTTGCCCGGCCTGCCCTGGCTCCTCTGGGACCATCTAGTGGGTCGCGGAAGGTCCGGCTGGCACCCTACATCCCGGATACAATTTCCCAGCTCCCAAGTGCTTTTGAGGGGCAGCTGGAGTGAGCAGAGAACCCCAAGTCCTGTCTACTGGTCTGAACCCCACCTTCACCTCCTCAGGACAGATGGGAAACACCCCAGTTTGTCCTTGATGCCCAGTGAATCACCGAGACATTCCAGAAGGGAAGTTGTAAACACACACAACAGAAATTCATGTCTTACAGTTCTGGCTGCTGGCTGCTCTAGTACCAAGTCTGAGCCCATCTCCTGCTTGATAGGTGGTGCCTTCTCATTGTATGGGCATGTGGTAGCCAGGGCAGGGTACCCAGCACAGGTCCCCTCCTCTCACACCCTAGCACACAGAATCTCAGGGCATGAATTTGGAGAAGGGGAGGGGATACGAAGATTCAAACCGCAGCCCAGATTTGCTCATCATACTGGCCAGGGCAGCTGCACTCACCTCTTGGTCTGTTGTGACAAACACATGATTTAGTATGAAGTCAATAGAGTGTCCAGATTGGAAACACCAAGGAGAAGGCAGCATTCTTTCTTAATGACTATCCATGAGGAAAAATTGAACAAACCTGAATCAAGAGCCATTCTGCAAAGGTGCTGGCCAAGACTCTCCAAGAAAGTCAGCTTCAGGAACAACAAACAGAAACTCAAGGGTGGTCTGGATATGAGCTGGTGCTATGGCATAGCGTGATAAGCTGACATCTGCAGCACCAGCATCCCATATGGGCCCTGGTTCAAGTCCCGGCTGCTCCACTTCCAATCCAGCTCCCTGCTGATCTGCCTGGGAAATCAGCAGAGGATGGCCAGAATGCTTGAGCCTCTGCACCCATGTGGGAGATGTGGAAGAAGCTCCTGGCTCCTGGTTTCAGCTTGGCATGGCCCTGGGGCCACTGCAGTCATTTGGGGGAGTGAATCAGCAGATGAAAGATCTCTCTCTCTCTCTCCCTCTCTTTCTCTGTGTCTCTGCCTTTCAAATAAATAAAAAATATATATTTTAAAAAGAATGTCCAGATTAAAGGAGAGGAGACAATTAAAAGGCTGTTATGAGTCCAGACTTCTCCAGTCACAGTGAAACTGTTGGCTAAATCCCATGTAGGCGTGGAGACTGGGGGCAGCGCATTCATTCTGGATGTCTTGACTTTTAAAAATTTCACTGTGGTGGGTCAGGGAATGCCCTTGCCTGTAGGAGATGCTCAGCCAAGTTCCTAGGAGCATGGAAGAAACTGAAGCTCTGAGGATGATGTAGCACATGCCAGGACGCTGGTGTTAGGTGTTTTCTACCAAAGTTGCACAGAGCAGAGTTCCGGCCGGCACCATCACACAGCCAGCCTGCAGTTCCGGCCAGCACCATCACACAGCCAGCCTGCAGTTCCGGCCGGCACCTTCACACACACAGCCAGCCTGCAGTTCCGGCCGGCACCATCACACAGCCAGCCTGCAGTTCCGGCCGGCACCATCACACAGCCAGCCTGCAGTTCCGGCCGGAACCATCACACAGCCAGCCTGCAGTTCCGGCCAGCGTCACCATCACACAGCCAGCCTGCAGTTCCGGCCAGCGTCACCATCACACAGCCAGCCAGCCTGCAGTTCCAACACCATCACACGGCCAGCCTGCAGTTCCGGCAGCATCAGCATCACACAGCCAGCCAGCCAGCCTGCAGTTCCAACACCATCACACGGCCAGCCTGCAGTTCCGGCAGCATCAGCATCACACGGCCAGCCTGCAGTTCTGGCCAGCGTCACCATCACACAGCCAGCCAGCCTGCAGTTCCAACACCATCACACGGCCAGCCTGCAGTTCCGGCCAGCGTCACCATCACACAGCCAGCCAGCCGGGGCCTTCATCTACAAAGTTGCAGATGACTGTGGCTGGCCTAATTGCCTTGGCTTTTCCTGTTGCCAGAGTTCTTTTTGTTCTTAGTCCATTTTGTGCTGCTGTTACAAAATATATGAGTCTGGGTAATTATTA